GAACCTAATCAAAATATCCAAGAATTAATTACCGTATCACGGATTCAAAAGTAAAATCACCATGACTACCCCCTAATCACGATGCTATTTCTATCGGTCTCTATATGACCAGACATCTCCAAATTTGTTCTTATATTAAACTAAACATTCAATCCTTTTCTATTATCGCTGGTCATTAATCTCATCAAGCAATATTGATTTCTTTATTTTATTTTATTTCCTTCTTTCCGGAAATTGAGCACTAAAATCAATTGTGCACATATATATATATACATAAATACAAACATATATGTATATATATTTTTAGCTAAAAGTAGATGGAGGAACCGGCTTTTATTTCCATTTATTGGGTTTAATTATACCCACACACATATATACCAATTTTCCAATTTCCCAGACAAGCAATGGAGACCCACGGCTTTGGCCAACAATGGCTAAGTCACGGGATTTTTCCTACACAACATCACAACAGCCCAAATCAATTAAATTCTACATGAATTAAGCAACAAAACACATTCAAAATGCTCTAATTGCTACCGGAATTCATCCCCATTTTTCAACAAATTTCGGACAATACAGGGAAATTCAAACAGCAGCTAAATGGGTGAAATTGGACTTAGAGAAGTTGTCACCATATCAGAATTTTTCCAGCTGCAGAACCGGACTTAGCGGGGGAAAGAGGCCGGCGGCAATTCTGCAGGGGAACTCGTAGAATTAACCCAAAATTGAAGGAACAAGAGGAACTTAGAGTAACCCAAGTTAAATTAAGGCTAAAAAGATGAAGTTCATGGTGTTTCCTTACCAGAAAACCGAACCCACTACCCACAGCAGCAACCAGCGGCAAAAGGGGAGAGAAGGCAGCAGCAGATTCGAAAATTCCTTGGCTTTAGAAGGAGTTCTAGGCCCTAAATCTTGTTCTTGAGCAAGAAAAGAGGAGAAAAATAGCAAGCTTTTTCCAATTCCTCAAGAAAGGACTGTCGGCAGCTTGAGGGGGGCTTGTCGGGGAGAAAAGAAGAAGAGCAGGTCGCGGCCTGATGAGGAAGAAACGAAAGAAAGAAGAAAAGAAAAAGAAAAAGCAGCTGATCCTTCTCTCATTTCCTTTCTTTTAAGTCCCTCAACTTTGAAAATTTTTACCATTAAGTTCATTAATAATATTTCTTCACAATTAGGTCTCTAACTCACACTTTAATGCTCTAGAAATTTTGGGGTATTATATCCACCCCTCCTAAAAAAGAGTTTTGTCCCCAAAACTCAAATCTAGGATCGTCTAGACTAGTGAATGATTTCACACAATCCAAGACAAAACAAATGCCCCATTGACTTTCTATGATCAAAACATGGCCTACTACACTTCCGTTGCACCACTCTGATATCAACCACAACTACCATGAAAACAACACCACCTCGAGAATAGTTCCAAGGTCAAAACATCAACAGAATCAACCAAATTTTCAAGCAGAAAAATGACAGAAACAGTGATAACCAGACTATCTATCTTACCCCTCTTTTTTTTTTTTTTTTAGGATAAATGTCGGTGTCATAATCACAAGGAACCCAATTTCAACATACATGGCTAACGATTACAAAAGTACAATAGTCAGATTCACTTTATAAGGAATGGGTACTCATCACTGCCCTAACAAGCCAACAACAAATCTCAATCTCCATCCTCCCCAATGGCTATTTGGGAAGCGGGAGATAACTTCACGCCTTAACACAAGTAACTAAACTCGAGAGTTATCGGCGTGATTATGTGGTGCCCTTGACTCAAATCAATACCCAGTACTCATCAAACACAACAACATGGCATGGAATCTAATGATGAGTACAACTAAAAGATGGAACCCTATCTGAGACGGATAAACATCACTTGGATATATAGGATCATGAATGGATGAATGCATGCATATGTATGTATGAATGAATGCCTCTGTGCGTGCATGTATGAATGCCCATGTGTGCATGCATGTAAGCATGTATATGCTCATGTATGTCATGTTTGCATTCATATATGAATGCCCAAATGAATACTTAAACAAACAGACCTATTATAGAAGGCCTTATACATTCTGCCACCACCCAGGGTTAATCAATAACATGTTATTGGGTAGCAAAACAAGAATCTAAACAGATAAAGGAAAGAACCATTCCTCTAGAACTGAACTCTAGAGTACTAAATACTGTGATGATAACCCACTTAAAACATAGTCCATAACGGTAAGGTATTTTTACAATCACGTCAATCAAAGATATTAAGACATAATATCAACATTAGGCTATCTATCCATAACCAAAATAGGGATATTTCTAAATATATCCCTAGAAGTCGTCACCCCTCCTAAATAGGTGTCCACATGAAACTTAAAACAAGAAATTAACATGTACATTGGTATACCGGGATAACAACTAGCATAAAATTCAGAACTTGAGCAAGGGCAAGTGTCAAAGCAAAAATATTTTCAAAGACAGTTCAGAATGGATTCCACAACCAAATATCAAGCAATTTTCTACATTAGCATATGTCAGGCAAACTTCAAGAACTCCACCCAGCATAATTTATATTCGGATATCGATACTCAAGAAACAAAACAAGTGCAGAATCCAAAACTTGAGTAATAATAGATTTTCAGACAATTTTTCAAGAATAGAAGCAAGTTTAGACAAAGATATTTGGTAGGCTATTTAGCAGGAAAAATTTCACCTATGTGTGAAAAACTATCTTCTTTCCTACAAGAGCATTTGGATATGTACAGAACTAAGTAGTATCAACCACAGCTTGAACATTGACATGACATAGACACGTATAATATACAGACTCAAATTTCATAAGGATTTCAATCAAAACATGAAAATTCCTGATTGATCATTATCGCTTCACATCTAAGTTCATTACACAGGCAAACCAAGTTATCCATGCAAAAATTATCAAATATCAAACAAATGTTATTGAACCAGAATCATAAGATTGAAACAAATGAAATGAACCAAATTAATCACCGTTATGAATGCAAAATAACTTATTTTAAATCTAAAACAGAAGCTTACAAGCAAATTCATACAACACTGAAATCATCAACATCTCCAAACACAAATTCCAGATTTATCATTATCAGATCAGTTCATTATCCAAACAAAATTTTCCAGAACTAGCTTAAAATCAACAAGATTTACAATTAAAATCGTCCCTTCTATAACCCCATCACTTGTCTCACCATGGTTCTAAAATCCATTGGCTAGCCAAGTTCAAAATAAATCCTAGGTATTTAATTAAACTTGAGCTTTGTCATCAAAAAATCTTAATTAAACCTAAGCTCTGATACTACTTAATCTGGAGGTGCTTAATTTAATCCTAAGCTCTTAATTTAAACCTAAACTCTGATACCACTTAATCTGTCATGCCCCGAACCCAAATCTGAGGGCGTAATAGATGCCCTACACTTGTGAGACGAGTCCCACAAGTGCACAAGGCTCGAAACTTACTCAACAAAATTAGTTTTGATACCATAAAATTTCCAATTAAAATCTAACTTACAAGAGCATGGTATATATATCTAGAATCTATGTCAAATCTCAAGTGGCTAGCCTTTTACCATGTCACTCCTTTTGATTTCCGTGTCTTGGGTCACACTACCTAAAATGGTGGGCAAGGAAAAACGAGGTGAGATAACTCAGTCAGTAAAATATGGGTAGCCCGTAATTAAACTCATAGCATGCCAACAAGTATAATTATAAAAAACTGATATAGTACAGGAACGAAATAGATGTCTCCTCTATATAGGTCATGGCTAGTGTTATAAACCTCCCATTGACAGGTACACGATTTACTAGTGTATAATCCCACTAGCAGGATAACAGAAACGAATCAATTCTATCAGTAACATGTCGACATGTGCTAGCGTTTATAAACCTCCCATTAGTGGGCACACGAATAACATGACCATATTGGAGACAAAACAGGCAAAAGTTAACAGAAAAATCATAATTTACCAATCACTTTTAGATCATCAAGACAATCAATTAAATTTCAAGTAGGCATGCTCAATTTAATGAAAAGCATAAAAATTTCACTTCAAATCAGTCATGCTCGTGTAAA